TTTAATTTTAAATTGCATATCTGTAATCTGTAAACAAACACAGACACACTGTGTATATATATATATATACAAATCCACTAGAATTTTAAACATAATACTGCTTTTGTGTCACAGAATGTAGTTTTAAGAGGTTTTTTTTAGGTGAGAATATACTTCTTTAGACTTCAAATATGTGTTTTGTTTATATATATATATATATATATATATATATATATATATATATATATATATATATATATATTCATTTAGATATTAATTAGTGCTGTCAAATCGTATCCAAAATAAAAGTTATTTTTGTTTACAATATATGTATGTGTACTGTGTATATTTATTATGTATATATATGTATATATACACACACACACACACACGCACACGTTTTGTTATGCCTGGTCCAAGAAAGGCAATGTTTATGAGCAGAAGAACACCATCCCCGTGGTCAAACATGGAGATGGACCAGTCTATATATATGTATATACACACACAAACACACACATGCATGTGCATATTTTTATATATTAATATATTATATATATTAATACTATATTTATTTATAAATATAGATAGTAAACAAATATTTTCAAAATATATACTGTATGTGTGTGTAATTATATATACCTAATAAATATACACAGAACACACACATATATTATGCAAACGAAATCGTTTATTTTGGATGCGACTAATCGCGATTAATCGTTTGACAGCACTAATATGAATACATTTTGCAAGAATATTGCTCATGACTTAATGTATTTCATAATGCTAACAAACTGAACCTTTAGTTTTACCTATCAAGTGCTCACTTAATAAAATGTACTAAACTGCTAAATGGCTGAACATCATCTCTCCTTCTGGCCAACAAACTGTTTGTTCTGCAACTTTATAACAAGGATTAGTCCATGAGAAAACACAACGGCATTTTAAAGAGAGCAGCGGTAATGATGGCACTAACAAGGAAAGGTGGAGAGCTCAGCTCAGAGCAGGACGATTAGCCCTCAGACGAAGTGCACAGCCATAATTATGCATTCTATTATGCAAAAAGTAGTTACAGGGGACTTTAACACCAATTAGGGAATCATTGTTGCTGAGTGGATGACTCCCATCTGAGGATAAACTGGAGTGCGAAGGGAAGAAATAATCAGAGAGGATGGATGAACCTGGAGGAGAGGAGGAGAAAGTTGGTGGAGAGTTCAGTACTGCACCACACACAGTCCTGTGGTCAAGGAGAACTGCAAATGAGGTGCAGGAATGAGCCCAAGGGAACGTTATTTGCTGATGTTGCTGTTAGACAGTGTCACCTAAGAAAAATTAGTGATTCATATACTGTTTAATCTCACATTTCCAATATTTCCCTTTTTTATCACCTCCTCTGAAAAAAAAAACCACCCCTTTTGTTGAGTTTTTGTGTGGGAACGTACGTTTCCAAACTTTTAGTAAAAAAGTTGTGAAGGAATCTAAAAAAATAGGTGTTGGACAGAGAGACAAGAGCGAAAAAAGCAGGAGGAGGGCTGAAGTGAAGAGACGTGGCCACACACAGGGGAAGAATGAATGTCATCCAAAGCGTTGACCTTTTTGAATATCATAACACACAAGCAAACTAACTCATGAGAATTTGCATGAGAGCGGAGGAGGGCTTCTCTCAGCTGTAACACAGGGCTCGTTAAGGAGACAGGTGGTTTGCTCACTCTGACACACACACACACACACACATCTGTCCAATATGCTGTTGACAGATAACAGCACGTTCACCTCCTCTGTAAATACCTCACAACACCTCTTTGCTGCTCATGTTCAGAGGAAACTATAACAGTTACATCATCACAGCAGTACTGAGGAAACCGCCCTTTGAGTTATTGGTCTGAAATGAAAAAAATGCATTACAAAGATTTCTATTTTAAATAAATTACTTTTTTCTTTTTTTTTTTACTTTTTATTCATAATAAATCTTGAAGAATGTATCAGTTTCCACAAAAATATCATGCAACTATTGTTTGACAAAACAAAACGTCTTGAGCAGCAAATCAGCATATTAGCATGATTTCTGTAAGATCATGCAGCACTGAAGACTGGAGTAATGATGCTGAAAATTCTACTTTGCTATCACAGGTATGTATTTTAAAATACATGAGAATAGAAAACAGTTATAAATAGGAAATACAATCAAAACAGTGAATTTAAAAAAAAATCTAACCATTCCCAAACTTTTGAAAAGTAGTTTATATTTTTCAAAAGGAATGAAAACATATATGCAAAAATTATAGATAGATAGATAGATAGATAAAATTAAAATAAAAATGGGGGGGGGGGGGTTGAATTTTTGGCAGAACAAGAAAAACTACCAATGGGGTGAAATTTTTTTTTTTATTTCAGTCTTAATGCAATACAATTTTGCTTTAAGAAAATATATATTTTATATTTATAAATATAATTTTACTGGAAATTAAGACTGATGAAAAAAATGAATGGAAATTTTTTTGCAGTGAAACAATTAACGGAAAGACAACAACTTTAGCCTTGCAATGTTTCTGATTCTCAGTAAACACCACTGCAATAGAAAGAAAGCTACTTATTTGTACATAAAATATGTTTTGTACATGCACAGAATGTTCCTTCAAACCACACGTCTGTGTCAAATATCTCTTAACTCCATGAAAAAGGACCATGTAAAAAAAAACTGCACTCTGTCCTTTCATTTAAAATTCAACATAAAACCACACTCCTACTGCACGTGTTTGTGTCTGAAAACACAACATAATCAGAGCATCTTACTACTGTACTTGACATCCCTCCTCTATTGAGCTCAACATGGCAGCATCTAAATTCAATATAACATTTGAAAAAACATTCTCACAATTTACGGACTCCCTAGCACCCCCTTGCGGTCTTTATCATACTAGAGGAAGTGGTTCATTCTTTCAGTACAAAGTAGTATGCAAATTACAATGTATTCTGGAAAAAATAGCAGCTATTAGATAATTGTATAAGGCTATTTTTTTAATGTGGGAAACCTATTGTGAAGGTACCACAATGGTTATGATCGAACTCGCTCAGAAAATGATCATGCTTTTTCAGCCTCAACAAGTGGTTTATTCTCAAAATGATATTGTTATAAAAACAATAATATGTCAAAATTATAGCATGAGACTGCTTTTAAGAAAATGGCTACTCTGGCTTTGCCAAAAACATCCTTTCCTCTCTCTCTCTCATGCGCTCTCAAGTTAGCAGCAACGCCCAGCATGTGTTTGACGAGAGGGTGACAGCGGGATCCCGTCTCCTCTTCGTGCTAATTCTTCTCTCGCAGTCTGTGTCCTGGCATCCATGTACCATCAATCCATGCCACTGACATGCACACACACCGCAGATGTCCATCAAATGCCAGTCACAGATGTGCTCCTGCCCACACACCCTCCAGGACACACCCCCTGCCAAGCAACGTGAGCGTCGATGCTAGCCGAGCCTATGTGTGTGTGTGTGTCCTTTAAAGTGTGCATGCGAGTGTGTGTGTGTTCATGCACTGCGACAGTCCTGCTGGATCTCGTCGAGATCTGAAACACACTCGCTCTCTCATTCTACCCCCGCGCTTGGGAGTTTGGAGTTTTACAGAATCTTTTTCAACAAGACTTCCCCCCTCCAAACTTGTACCTGTATTTTTCTGGCTTTGACAGAATTTATAGTGCCAGGCCTCATGAGCCCATTGTCAGCTTCTGGAGGAACGGCTGAGTGTGTGTGCATCTAAGTTTAGAATAGCTCCCTAGGAAGCTGTAGTATTTACCATCTTTTTGCTGTACTTTTACTTGTCTCATCTGAACAGAATATGGGCCATGCCACATCCTAAATACACACTGCTTGAAGAACAAATTTAGCATTTGGAAAGGCCAAATGCTATTCCTGACCTAACCAACTGAGATATTTTGACCTGAAGCAGGTATTTATTAAGAAAGTGCGGGTGGTATCGCCAAAATCTAATATCACGTTGTGTGTAATATAAAAATTGTGATAACAGTCATGATATAGCAGGAAATTAAACCCCAAAATCAATTATATATTACATAACCATGTAGCAATGTTTATTTTTTGATAATCTAGTGACTTGAAAGAACAGTTCACCCAAAAATTAAACTTTTGTCATTATTTACTCACCCTCATGTCATTTTACCTGTGAGATGTTCTTTTCTTTTGAGAGAAAATAAAAAAGAAACATTTTTGCCCATGCAATGAACTTTATTGGAGTCCAAAACGACTTTCAATTTTGGAACCCAATGACGTTTATTGAAATGGATCAAAACTATCACTTTGATTATGAATAACACCATAAGCCTATCTGTGACACTGTTTGGCCAACAGACCAATCAGATGTTTTAAAAATCAAACATACTATCCACCTTTTTTAATGCGGAAATAAGCTATTTTCTTTGAAAATGCAAGACTTCGCCTTCCGATGCTATAGGTAAATAACTACGTGCAGTAAACCGCAAAACTATTTGCACTACAAATCAGGGTGTTTATGATTACGATAATGAATTAAACTAATAAGATAGCAAATACCAGTTTGCAATATCAAGCAGCATAACAGCTGTTTTCATACAGGTAAAATAACTAGACGTGAATGACATCGACCATTCAAGTTACAAATGACATCACCTGCTCTTTTGTTAAACATACGGTGGATAATGAAAGGATATGTATTGGAAATCATCATGAAGTCACTGCAGAGGTTGACAATGACAGGAACAGAAGTTGTGTCACTTCTCAGAACCCTGACTCACAATCTCGACCGTGTGAGCTGAACTAACGTGAGAGAGCAAATGCTGGATAAACCATCATCCTATGTCTGTTTTAACAGGTTTAGTGTTCTGACCTTGTCTGTTTTTATCTCTTTTCTCTATCCATTCTTACTTCAGTGATGGAGGATTTGCCTCGATCTTTTAAGTGGTTGAGAACGTAGGCAAGATGAGTGGGCACAACATTGCAGACATACAGACTTCACTCTCTCTTACGTGTCTAAGAGTGTGGACTCGAGAACAGAGGTGCTTATTATACCTCCTAACTGCTGATAGTGTTTCTTGACATCTAGGAGAGTGGCTGTAACTTTATCGAACAAGGCATACCCTCTAGTCATTGCTGTAGCGGACCCCTGCCAAGCTGATAATTGTCTGGTTCTGTGCCTTTGGAAGTTGGAAGTTCTCCCCCTTTCTACTGTCCCTTTCCTCACTTTCCACAATGGCACAACAGATAAAGAAAATAAAAAGGTTTGTAATCAAAAAGTTAAAAGCAAGCATTGGTGAATGAGGTGTTCTTGAATGAAAGCATAAATCAAAGTTGAAATACTATATATTAGGGGTGGGAGAAAAAATTGATCTATCGATGCATCGCGATTCTGAGCTTAGTTTTTAACCAGATGCGCAATGACGCTGAGTTTTCTTTAGAAACACCTATGTGACGAGAGGGGCGGGGCCGAGAGCCGTGGGAACGGAGCGAGGCCGGTGGAGTAAATGCTAATGCGTGACACCTGCACCACTCACCGGTCTCGAGTCCCACGGAGGAGCTCCGGAAGGATAAAGGGAGGAGTAACGACAGTGTTGGACGAGAGAGGACCAGGCCTGGATTTTATTTTGTGTTTTGGTTCTGTTTGTGCGTGCCAGTCATCCGCGAGGGGCTGTCACGCTATTTTGTGTTTATTTTATTATTAAAGTTTTATTCAAATGTTCACCGGTTCCTGCCTCCTCCTTCCCGAACTACGAACATTGTTACAACCCGTATTCTGCTTGCTTCCAATTCCTCACACACACCACTCGAACCTTCTGGGCCTGGATTTTATTTTGTGTTTTGGTTCTGTTTGTGCGTGCCAGTCATCCGCGAGGGGCTGTCACGCTATTTTGTGTTTATTTTATTATTAAAGTTTTATTCAAATGTTCACCGGTTCCTGCCTCCTCCTTCCCGAAGATTTGCTTTTAGAAACACCCGTATTCTGCTTGCTTCCAATTCCAACACACATACACCACTCGAACCTTCTGTAAAATAATCTTTCATAAAGTTCGGAAAGGCTGAAGCGAATTACAAGGAATTACAAGGACATTCGCGGGCTTCATTGCTTGAGACATGCACGCTTTGTTTGATGTTACACTTGAAGTGTGCGGTCTCGCCCGTCTGTATTTTTCTTACAAATGCTCTACGAAGTCATCATTTATGTGGTTTGGAATGCAGCGGCCTTATATATTTAAAATATGAACCTCACTAACAGAAGGCTGCTTTCAATTTCAAATGCTGACGCGCGCTTTGTTTGTGAAGACTGCTCACGCACACGGCTGTGCGCGACTCCGTGTAAGTGGTTTAATGCACTTGCGTCTCAAAATTATTTTATGATGCAAAATTAATGTAGCTACATACAGCCAGTTATGTCGTAAGGGCTTAAACGGACAGGGCAAACCACATTACTTCTTATATTTCAAAAGAGATCTGTGCGTGAATGCAGCTTAATAGATCTCCCACTGTCTATGACGTCACAGTAAAAAACAACAGTAAAGATGAAGAAAAATCACTCACAGTTCTTGAATGGAAAACATTCAGATAATCTTAAATACTAAAAGCACTCTTTGTTTGTTGTTTGTAATAGGTTTTTATGTTCCTCTTTATTATTTGCTACTTGCTTGTATGTTTTGAAGTTATATTAGTTTAAAATTCTTAACATACAACTGTTTAAATTATTTTTTTCAATTTGTAATTATTTTAAAAAGTACTTAATCACTTATGTAAGGATATGTAAATGTAAGGATTTTAAGATTCTCAAGTCAGTAAACTAATGAATTAATAAGGTAGATCAAGAATCGTTCTGGAATCGGATCGGATCGTGAGGTGACCAAAGATTCCCACCCTTACTATATATAGCGTGTTGCTTAAGATTTGGTGCTCAAGAAACATTTCTTATTACTGTTAAAAACAGTTGTGCTGCTTCTTATTTTTTTACAGAAATCTTTCCCCAGAATTAGTATACACTGTGTATATATAGCACAATATGAAAGTGAAATGTGTCTTAAGCCATTTAACTAAAGCCTGTGATTTGTGAATCAGCAATGGGTTCACTGAAAAGAATCAACTCAATAGAATGAGGCATTTTCAATTTAAAAACATTTTAGTTCTAAAATGTATTAAGAGTAAAAAGTAAAATATAAAATGCATTGAAATGTAGAACTAAAACTTCTCTAACAAAGTACTACAAATGCACTTAAATACTGTAACAAAGTAAAAATACTGCTACCATCTGAGAGCAAAACATCGAATATCACTATTCTGTCTTTGAGCAAGGCACTTGCTCGATTGGTTGAAGCTGAATTACATCACTTCCTGTTTGTTGCTGCCGCGTGTTTTGAGTTTGAGCTCCGTCAAGTTAATTCTTTATCACCTATTTTTTATCTTAAAATAAATTTTATACACCATAATTTCCGTTTCTATGATGCGTGATTATATCCCCTATCGTATTCTACAACAAAAACAATCAGAGCGCCTTATTATAACTAGTTTTATTTTGATTTCACAAGTGATTTTCCGAGTCCGCTATCAGCTTATAGCCCGTTAGCATCACCAGCGTGGTTCCCGCTAATCTCGCTTACATTGCTAATACTCTATTCACACACATTACCATTGTTTTACTCACTGTTACTTGCTTTAATGGCAGATGTGTGTCTACTTTTGAGTGCAGGTCAGGACAGCTCGAGACGGTGCGCAGCACATCGCCCGCGACGACGATCATCATGTCAGGACCGCTTCCTACGTATCGACGAGGACACGAAAGGTTAAGTAGACTTTTTGCTTTAAATGAATGGTTATTGTCATGGTGTAAAGAACAGAAACTGCTCTTTGTTAATAATTGGAATCTTTTCTGGGAGCATCCTAGGCTTTTTCACGCTGATGGCATGCACCCCAGCAGAGTTGGAGCGGAATTCCTGTCGGACAACATCTCCAGGATGCTACGCTCCATATGACTAGTAAGCCAATTCTCAAATAACTGCTATGATGGCTTTTGTTCTACCTGCTTAAATGATAGAAGTACTTGCGCTGTCCAATCTATAAAGACTGTTTCTGTTCCCCGAATAGTGAGGTCAAAATATAAATTTAATGCAGGCTCTAGAAAAAATCTGAACATGATTAAACCAGAAAAATGCTAAATAAATGAACAAAAAATGTTTTAAAGTTTGGGCTCCTAAACATTAGATCATTGGCACCCAAAGCAGTTATTGTAAATGAAATGATCACAGATAATCGTTTTGATGTACTCTGCCTGACTGAAACCTGGCTAAAACCAAATGATTATATTGGTCTAAATGAGTCTACTCCACCAAGCTACTATTATAAGCATGAGCCCCGTCAGACTGGTCGTGGTGGCGGTGTTGCAACAATATATAGTGATATTCTCAATGTTACTCAGAAAACACGATACAGGTTTAACTCATTCGAAATACTAATGCTTAATGTTACACTGTCAGATATGCAAAAAAGATTTCTCCTATCTCTTGCTCTGGCTACTGTGTATAGACCACCAGGGTCGTATACAGATTTCCTAAAAGAATTTGCAGATTTCCTCTCAGACCTATTGGTTACTGTTGATAAAGCGCTAATTGTTGGAGATTTTAACATTCACGTTGATAATACAAATGATGCATTAGGACTTGCGTTTACTGGCCTAATAAACTCTTTTGGAGTCAGGCAAAACGTCACCGGCCCACTCATCGTTTTAATCATCACCACTGATAAGCTACTACTAGATATATTGTAGAAACTTAATTTTCTGTAAAGCTGCTTTGCAATGCAATGATTTGTATCATGAAAAGCGCTATACAAATAAACTTGATATGAACTGAATTGAACTTACTTTGGATAAACGAGTCAGCCAAATTACTACTTACTTCCACTTTGCCTGTCTACACCTCGCAACAATGTTTTTAATAATACCCAAACGTCCCCTCTACGAATGACATTGATACGCTGAAGTATCAAAGACAATTATTGCCCAAGCAACATGATCCTACCGCATCCGCTCCCGCTGGCACATCCGAAACGGATCAGTGCCGACACCACCGACCGCAGGCGCACTCCGGGAAACAGATCTCACCATATGGGATTGCAGGTCTACAGGAGACCCTTTGAATTTCACGTCACCACAACCATATTTAAGTAACTCAAAATTACACAAACAACAGGCCGAAAGAGAATCTAGACACTAAAACGAGACTTCACGGAAGTGAAAGAGATACCACTTGGCTTTTAAGATGTTTGCCTTTTAGTTCACATCGACTTAATTCAACCTCTGATTAATTTATAGTGTCCTCTGCATAATAGCTTGGCTCAACTCTCCTGCTGGCTGAACGCAGTACTAGGGTGATTCAGGAAGTTGTTCTGGGTCTGTCATTCCTCCATTTGCCTTTTCCTATCATTTTCCTGTTGCATTGCAGCATGTCACGTGTTGCGTGTGTGTAGGTGCGCGTGTTTGTCAGGCTAACCTTCCATTGTAATCTCTCAAACCCTCCGCTTTGTTGTCTGGTCTGAAAAGAGTTTGATAGTTGTCTAGCTGACAGTCTTTATTGGGAAACGTGACACATACCTCTCTTTATTTTTCTTTTCGGAGGCAATTTTCTCTTCCTGTGTGAACCTTTTGAAGTCTTATTTTCTTTTTGTGTTTAAAACAAAGCTGGCACATCATGACATGCAGGTAAGAACATGAAGAGAGAGAGAAAGATATAAAGGGGAGGTAGAGTGCGAAGGAAAAAGGGGGACAACGGGGGAAGAACATAAAAGATAAGCCTTGCATCCAGCCAGGGAGCTTGGACCTCTTTTAAACGACGGAGATAAAAACAGATTTTTAGCATACGTGTGGTGCTGCCTTTTAAACCTGGTTTGAAACGGAATCCTTATTTTGATGGAGAGACAAAGAGACAGCCAGATCTATATCCATGTGCGGTGATCTAAAGTCAACTGAGACAAAGATGATAACAGGTACCATGTAGCAAACACACAGTATAATCTCACTTAAAGGGGTCATATCATGAAAATTAAATTGTATTGTATATGCATATATTAAATATAACAAATATATTAATTTATATTTTAAAACATTTATTATTAATG